AAGAAATGGGCTGTGGGACAGCAATAAGGGCTGCAGCTGAAATGTTATCATGGCACCAGCTGCACGGCCTTGTGGCTGCACCCAGCAGCAGTTGGCAGCCTAGATGGAGGAGTAGAGAAGGCAGGAGGGCTGTTTTCATCCAGGGATGCGTATGGATTGACAGGGTGAGGGAGGAGTGCAGAAGGATGGGTTAGAGGGAGTACTGGTGAGCAGGTTATTGAAGTGATGGCAGCAGAGGCTCGCCAGCCTGGAGAAAAGCACATGGTCAGAAGTTGGAAGAGGTTTAATGTAGAGATAGGTGCTGTGTAGAAGAAAAAGGAATTGTGCTTTGGGGTTTCACATATTAAAAGTGGTGGAATACTAGGTGCTGGCAAGATCTGGGTAAGGGCCAGTGTTGGAGGTGGGGGGCCTGGGTGGGGTTGGGTGATAGCTTTCCTAGTGGGAATCTGACAAGAGTGGGGAGACCAGGATGTATGCTTCTTGGGGTGCTAGATGCTTAAAGTCATGTTTTATATTTCTCAGAAGGTTTTGGGGCAGTCCTACTTGGAGGAAAAGAAGTGTGGAGTGGACTAACTTTTCAAAGACCTTGGTTAGCTTGAACAGGGTTGAGGACACAGACTAGAATGGGTTGCACAGCCACAGGCCAGAGAGAGCCGTTGTTTAGATAAAAAAATCAAACTTGGGGTGCTGCCTGAAGTTCTTTGTCACAGTTATCAAGAACAGAGGAATTCATAACAAAGCTTCCCTGGATTATGGCCTATTCTCTGCGTGGCCATCCCTGGGCCCATCTAAGTGCCAAGAGCCTTGTATTTGAGGAGAGAATGGGCAGGTGGGGGAGAAATGGTTCCTTCCTGGGGAGCCCCTAGGTTGTTGGATATTTACATCGATGTCTCACGGTGATGTTCAACTCTCATATTCTTCAGTTCTGAGAAGGTAGAAACAGGTTATAGAGAAATGGAAATGTGATGTGAGTAGGTGGGGCTTTCTTTTTTTTTTTAACTAAATATGCCTGTTCTACTTGACCCATGCCAGTTACTTACAGCTCAGCCTCCTCCTCATTAACTTTGTACTTCGCCGAGTAAAGAATTCCACATTAAACCCTGTTGATGGCCATTGAGGTGTCTTCTGTTTTTCACTATTGGCCAAAAATACCACAATTAATGTCCTTGTACACACTCCCAGGACTATTTCAGTTTGTTTTTCCTCATTTGAGATTTGTTTCCTCAATGCTGTGTTGTGGCAGTGAACTCCACTTGAAATACATTCTCTAGTTTGGAAACGTGATTTCCAGCGTGTGCTCTGTTTATTTTGATTCAGTCCTATAATAACAATATGGATTTCACGGAGGCCACTGCACTGGGGTCCCAGCTGCGCTCACTGGACTGGGTGTGTGAAAGCCTCAAGAGCTTTTTTGAAGGCTTTGCTGATGGCGCTGGGAAATGGGGAAGCCTCTGGGGTTGTACAGGGATTTACATAAAAACTGAAAGAGCCATGGTGCCCCAGGCACCTGGGGTATAACTTCGTTCCTCTCTGGCTTCTCTCTGTTGTTCTTCGAGCCTTCCCTGTATGAGCTGGAAGGACTCTGGTGAGGTCGGAAGCCCCTCCCTTTCTTGAGGCTGGGGATAGGGCACCCAAACCCTGCCCAACACAACCCCAAGTCCAGAGTCTTCCTTTCAAGTCCCCAGCAAAGTTCACACAGCGCCCTCGCCCAGATCCCTGCCTGCAAGCCAGACATTCCAGCCATTGGCCTGCAAAGCTGCCCATTTCACAAACACCTCAAAGGAATGTGGGTTTGAATGGAGATCACCTTCTTGGCCAATTTGGAGCCTGGGAGAAAAGAGCTGCCTTTGGAAACAATTAGCTGGTTTTGTGGTCTGTTACTTGTAAGGCTGGTTGACTGCTGGGCTGAGCTTGGAGGTTGTATTCCCCACTGGGAGGGCTCAAGCTGGGAGAACTAGCCCTACTCTCTTGTGTGTGTTTGTGGTTTTAACTGAGCTGCCCCCCAAAGTGCGTCTCTCTTGACTGCCTGGCCAAGGCCTGGGGAGGAGCTGGTGTTGGTTCCTGCCAGCAGCTGTTACTGGACAGTGCGGTTGCCTTTTATTTAATGCCACCCACTCTCATTCTCCCCGCTGCCTGAGAGAGAAAGGAATGCTCTGTTTAATTTTGAGATGCTGATTTGGTAAAAAGAGTTAAGTAAAGAGGCTAGGGTAGAGGCAGAAGAGGGGCATGAGGTGGAATTTGTTGGACAATCTGGTGTCTTTTCTCTGGCCATAGGGAAGGTACTTAGAGAATCAGTCTCTTTCTTTCTATACATGCACACACGCACACATGCATGCACACATGCTTCTTAGATTTCTCTGACGTGTTAACACCAGGGAGGGTGAAGGACAGGAGTTCCATATGGACTGTAACCATGACCTTGTCTTTCTTGGATATGGGTTCTCAATATGGTATTCATAAATGTGCTTCAGTATGTCCACAACCCCCTGAAATTGTCTGCAGGGGGTTGTGTGTTCACATATTTCTTGAGAGAGGGTTCATAGCTTTCATCAGATTCTCAGAGAGTTCTCTGAATCCCGAGAGGAAAGAATCCCTGCTTTGGGGTTTGACTCTTGAACTAACAGTAGGAAAAGCAGTAACTGGCATTCAGTGGGCTCCAAGCACACACCAGGCACTGCTCAGCACTTTACGTGCATTATATTTCATTTGAGCGAGGAGAGTATTAAGATTATCCTTCTCTGACTGATGAGGAGGTAGAGGCACCAAGATTTAGCACATTAGACCAGGAATGATGCAGTTTACAAATTGGGAGCTGGGACTTTAACACAGACAGTCTGATTCTGGAACTCTGAGCCTTTTCTTGGTAGGGCCTCCACGCCAAGTCAGGTCGCTCCATAATGACTCTGAGATGTAGTCGACTTTAGAGTTCCTTTCCTTTCTTTGCTTCACTGCCTAAATTCTAGGATAGGCTTCCACTGGCCCTGATTGGCACTGTTACCTACCTGGTTTCCACATCTCTGGAGGACTAGGGAAGAAGACTGTCTTTGGGAAGTCGAATCTGTTTAATTTTGAATCTTAGTTCTATGACCCAATTGTCCTCTGGGTCCAGACATCCGTGGCCCTTGCCACAGGGTTACTGTGAGCATAAAATAAGCTGATCCTGTATCTGAAAGAACTTTGAAAGCCATGAACACTGTAGGATTCTATGTCAGGATCCTGACATCTGTATTCTCTTGGAGAGAGTAGGCAGCTTCAGGCCTGAGAAGGACAGCAGCCTCCTGGTCCAAAGGGTAGGAGATCTGGGACTGTTTGTCTAAGCTGCCTGTGGTCAAAAGTACGCTCTGGACAGAAGAGGTGGTGATGTAACTGGACTGTGTGTGTGTATTGGAAAATCCCTCTTTGCTCTTTCCTCATTTCAGGTTTGTCCTTTGAGTCAAGTCAAATATTTATCGGGCATTTCTGAGTACAAAAGTAGTGTATGAGAGACTTGTGAAGGATGCGGGAGTGGAGCCCCTTTCCTTATGGAGTGTGGAGTCTCATTGAAGAGCAAGGGCGGCATGTATGTGTCTGAAGGGAGGCGTGTGGTAAGTTCGAGTGCAGACCACAGTCGGTGCTGCCTGGAGGATTTCAGGAGAGATAGGTAACTCGGCTGGAAGAAAGAAAGCAGGCAGATGGTGTTGAAGAATCTGGACATTTTGGTCAGTGGAGGAGAGGGTGATGGTGCCGGGTTGGTGATGAACACTGAGCAGACTAGAGGGTCTGATCGCAAGATAGGGAGGCCCGGGAGTTACTGGGAGATTCTCCTTGGTATGAGGAAGATCGATCTCTTGATGGATGTTCAGGGTGGGTCAGAGGGGACCTAGATGCCAGTCAGCTTCTTTGCACAGGCTCTGAGTATTTTGTTTCTGTAGTTCAAATGAAAATTAACTGTGTTATTGACAGTGATTTTCAAACAGTTGGGCTGGAATGGGCAGACCACACGCCTTGTTTTCCTTGTTGGACTTGCTGCATGGGGTTTGGATCAGAGTAGTGGGAAGATCACATGTTGTTACTTCTCCATTTCTTTATCCTCTTGTCCCACACACACAGCCACCCCTTGACCATAGATTGAGTATTGAAAGCCCTTACTTTTTACTTGGTTGGTGGCATTGGAGAGAGTCAGTCTCTGTAATAGAGTCTAATTTTAGAGTTTCCACTTCCTCAAGCACCAGCCTTTTTATTCGAGTTGCTAATATCTTCTTCCTTTCCTTTCTGGGTGTGCCCTGTTGTAAAATTGCTAATGATCAATATTTTGACCACAAGCTAGCAGTTGTGAGGAGCCTGTATCATCCATAAGTGGAATTATCACCTTATGTACTTGAAAATGGGTTTTTAGGTCAAAAACAAAAACAAAAACACCTGTTTAGACCTTTCTGAACAGCCCCACTGTGCTCTTTCACTAATGTTTTTCTGCTTCCCTTTTCAGCATACCAGGGGGTGGGTGGGGATTGGCCCAGTTCAGCCCCAGTGGTGTGTCTGTTCTGGTCCTAAGATTCCTAAGAGACTCATTGGTTACAGCAGTGAGGATGGTCACAGAATACTTCAAAGGGAGCCTGCGTCATGCCATACAGAGAGGCAGTTGCCTTTACTTTTTCCAAAACTGAGGTGAACCATTTCTAGGGAAGAGGGATGGGTAGGCAGTCTAGAGCAGGGTTGGCAGCTTTTATTTTATACTTTCCAAGTTTCTATATTGTTTGGATGTTTTTCACCAAGAGCTTTTTATAACAATAATGTAAAAATTATAATACAATAATAATAAAAATAATAATGTAAAAATTGAGTTATGGTACTATGAGGTTAGGTAATTAAATACAGTTGGAGAATAGACTGGAATTAGAGGTTCCAGTTTTTATTACAGTTTATTTTATGTTAATACAGTTTATTACATTTGCTAGCTTTATGACTGACTTTCCTCTGGTCTGGAGTCCAAGCAGAAGGATACCCTTAACTCCAGGTTGTAGGTATTCAGTTCGTGTCTCACCTCAAATGGCAAACCGTATTGTGGATTCTGCAAGGAGCATCCTCAACAAGTTTATACCCGATATCTATATCTACACAGACCACATGAAAGGAGTCAATTCTGGGAAGTAAGTGTCTGCATTTTTAGAGCCCGATTCTGCAGCCACCCTGGTGTTTTTCATGCTTCTGTTCTGATTGAAGCTAAAGTTGCCAGCTCAGAGGTTGGGCTGCCAGAGGAAGAATGAGTCAGAATTCTTTTCCTTCCAACTTATTGCCATTGTCACTAATAGTCATCTTTTGAACGCCTGTCACATGGAAAGCATCACAGTGCCCAGTGTTGGATGAGGAGGGGTTGAGAGGCCAGCCTAGGGGAATTAAAACCCAGCTATTAATAAACAGTGCTTCAAGCTTTAAATCCCTTCTGTACTCTGTTCCCATAGAAAATTAAAGTCAACAAGTTCTTCCACCCTGAGTAAATAACAGTTTGGGGCAAAAAAATCCTTTGTTGGTCTGAGCGCCAGTTGGCTTCTCTCTCCTTCAAGGGGAACAACACCCTAAGAGCCAAAGAAAGTTGTTATTGCAGATTTGAGTTCGGTTTAGTTAAAGTCCTAGCGGAAAACCTCACTTCAGAAAATAAAATGTTAATGATGATCTGTGTAATGAAAATATCTGTTTTAGGCTTTAGTTACATATTTAGAAACCAGTAAGTTAGAGAAGCAATTAAAAACTAATTTTTTAATTATGGAAATGTTCAGTATACAAAAAAGTTGAAAGGATAATTCAGTGAACACCTGCCTATTCCTACTGCTTGTAGTTAATGAATATTTTGCCAAATTTGCTTTTCTTTTGTGTGGATTTTTGGGGTCTTTTTGTTTGTTTGTTTTTGCTGAACCATTTCAGTGTGAATGACAGTATCATTACGCTTTGATTCTGAAGTTTTCAGGTTACGTCTTTGAAAAAATGAGAACATCAGAGACTGACTTTGGTGGGTTAAGAAATCAGTTTTTTCCTAAGTAGTACCAGAGCTCATCTTTTTTCGTAGCTCTTCCATCTGAGCTTTTAACTTCAGTAAAAGAAGGAAAGAGAGTAAAGGAGGGGCTGAGTGTGTTATGGGGTCTCTGACCTTCATGAAGCCCAAGGGAGAGATGAAGGTGATTTTAGGAATGCGGTGCTTGTTCACAGTCCAAAGCATCAGAGGTGGCAGTGTCAGAGGTTACAGTTGGGAAAGGGTTTGTGTGCAGAGCAGGGAGTCGGAAAGGTCAGTGATGGTCCCAAACCTTTGGTGTATTGCTCAAATACATTGGTGTTTTCCTCCTTCATACCATGGAAGTGATAACACCTGCCTCCCTAGGTTTACCATAAAGATTAAAAGATCATATCTGTCAGCCAGTAGTGCAATGCCTGGCACATAGCAGGTGCTGCAGAAAAGGGAACTGCTAATGCCATTCTCTCCTTTCTCTTCCCTTCTTGGCCACAGGTCTGGATTTAAGGGGAGAGAGGTTCCCAGGGGTGGGGGAGGGTGAGTAGCAGCAGCTCTGAATGGCCTGATCTCCATAGTGTCTCATCTGTCTGGCCTCTTGCTTGACCA